ATCGGCTCCTTCATTCCATCATCGCGTGTGAGGTTTGGTAGTGGGCCGGCATGGGCCTGATGTGCGTAGCTCTCTCAATTGGGGCAGAGCCACCGTATGTCTTGTTTTACACGTTGTGTCCAGGAGATCTCTCAGGTGTTTGCTAGGGGGAGGTCGCTGTCGATCACACGTGGTGGATGAGTGGGTGTCTACCGATCGTCGGGACTCCATTGGTGTCTCTTCATGCGCGGTTGTGTCACTGTCACCCTGATCCTGCAAGTATCGGCAGGGTTGACTGTTATGGGTCCATCGATGACTTTTGCCCCATCTCTTTAATGCAAGGTGGGTCGGATGCAGGTCGATGTGGCGATTGACAGAATCGCCATCAGAGAGCCAGGCTTCCTTGACCAACCGGCCCCCCTTGGTGGCGTCTCCAGTCAAAACCCGTGTGTTCTCAAAGTCAAACTGGTGGTTACGTTCCGCCATATGAGTCCACACTTGGGAGTGTGGATCGCCCCTTTTCACGGCTAATTTGTGCTCGTGCAAACGGGTTTTCAAACGTTTGGATGTCTCCCCCACATAGTTGCACCGGCAGTTTTTACAATCAATTTTGTAAACTACAGCTGATCTTTCCATAGTGGGGAGAGGGTCTTTGGGGCGCATGACCTTGGAGCGTAACGTTTGACATGGTTTATGGGCCACTTCTATGTTGTAGGGGGCCAGTAGTCTAGCCGTTGCCTCCGAAACATTGCTTATGTAGGGTAGGGAAATACGTATCCTACGTGTTGAGGGTTCTTCTCTTTGATGATTACCACGGGGTTTTGATGTAGTGCCGTGTCGTTTTATAAACCTCATAGGATACCCGTTTTGCTGGCAAATCCTGAGGAGGTATCTCTTTTCTTCCATCTGAGACTCAACGGTGCTGCAGTGGGAGTTCACGCACTTGAATAATGTTTTGATGCAGCTGATCTTGTGGGATACCGGATGATTGCTCCTGTAGTGGAGGATCCTGTCCGTGTGGGTGGGCTTACGATAAACTCTTGTGTGTAATGTCCCATCCACCTGTCAGTGGATTAACACGTCCAGGAAGGCAAGGCAATCTTGCTTCTCTTCCTCCACAGTAAATCTTATATCAGGATAAATCATATTCAGTATTCCCACAAAATCCGCTACATGTTGCCTTTTGACAACAGCAAACGTGTCGTCCACGTACCGAACCCAAAATTTGGGTTGGTAGAGGGTCATAGCCTTACATTCCAGCTGCTGTAATACCGCTTCAGCTATAATGCTGGAAATGGGGGAGCCCATGGGTGTGCCTTTTATTTGCTGGTATACCACCCCCTGAAATGTAAAGTATGTAATCAAACATATTTCCACCAGTTTGATAAGGTCTTCCGTCTGTAAGGAGTCTTGATCATGGTTGTTCTCATCAGCCATGAACTGTTCTCTTAAGACCGTAATGGCTAAGTCTTGAGGGATGGAGGTAAACAATGAGGTAACGTCGAATGAGACCATTCCCCCAGGGGTTGGTCTCAGGGCTTTTACTGGTATCATCAGTTCCTGCAGCACCGTTGATATTACTGGCTCCTTCGTTCCATCGTCGCGTGGGGGATTTACTAGCGGGCCGGCATGGGCCTGATGTGTGTAGCTCTCTCAATTCCATATGCCTTGTTTTGTGCGTGGTATCCAGAAAATCTCTCAGCTGTTTGCTGGCGGGAGATCGTTGTCGATCACACGTAGTGGATAAGTGGGTGTCTACCGATCGTCGGGATTCCATTGATGTCTCTTCGTGAGCGGTTATGTCACCGTCACCCTGATCCTGCAAGCGTCGACGGGGTTGACTGTTATGGGTCCATCGATGACTTTTGCCCCATCTACCAGTAAAAGCCCTGAGACCAACCCCTGGGGGAATCCGGAATTCGGCGCCATGAATGCGGGGGGTGGTGGTGGTTTGGGAAGGATTCTGAACGCAGGGCTGCCTGTAAGATCCGGGAGAGAGAGCTCGAACGGAGAAGTAGGAATGGTGAAAGGAATGGAGCTCGCACACGCAGTGAGGGGGTGAAGGGAGCACACGCCTACCCCATCAGTGCACATGAGACTGGGGAGGATGAGTACATACACCAACACCGTGCGGCCCCACGAACAAGATGTGGAGGGCCGACTGTGCGCAATGCAAACCGCACCCCACAGCATGGGGAGTTGGCAAGGGGGGAGACGAACGAAGGAAGTGTAGGGACAGAGGATATAGGGGAATATATTGAAAAAGAAGAAGAGTGCGGTAATTGTAGCAGTACCACCCAGATCGGAACAACGGCACATAGGGGAGGAGAAGAGATGCCACCTAATACCCCCCCAACCTATATAAGAGAAGTGACGAGTGATAGCAGTAACACAGCTAGGAGGAGAGAGAAGGGAGGAAAAACTACGATGGATATAGTGAAAGCAATGAATATCAAAGAAAGTACAGTCGGGCAGAGGGAAGGGGGAAGAGGCACCACAGCACGGTATCAGATTAGGAGCCCCAAGGTAAAACTTAATGAGGTGACACTTAACAACCCTGTAACTAATGGGAAGACAGTGGATACGGGGGGGGAATATCTCTAAGAGAAGGGAGGGAGGGAAGGGAACTTCAGCAGGCAGCAAAGCTGACGTCATTGAAACAAAAAGAGCAACCTTTAAATGTGAGAAAGGAGACCAAAACGCAGGTGTGGTAGGAATAATTAGGTCACAGGCTGATTGGTTGGGGCCGGTCACGCGCTCTAGGAGCCGAGCGCAGATGCTAAACAACCTTACTTAAGGCACACCTATAGACTGGCTTGTTAACCCTGATGATGCTGGGAGCTCTCAGCGAAAGCTTGGTTTTAAATTAAAGTTTTAAATTCTTTGTTCTCCTGGTGATCGTGAGTTTTTATCTATTTTATATTATGAATTTACCCAGGAGTCACGTCTTCAAGGATATTATTGAGCATATATATATAGCAAGAGGGCTAGAAGGAAACAAGAAAAAAACTCTAGTTATTTCAGCAATTTCATTCAGCATATCAATAGCCACATTTCAAAACTTTGCTTATTTAGCATTTATGTAATTGTTACTTTAACAAAGCAAATATTTTTGCTTTTACACGTTTTCAGATTAATTTTATTTCTAAGTATTATGATATGCTTAAGATCTTTTATGATCTGCCTCTTTTATTCACTGAACTATTTTACCAAGACCCTTTTTGTTTTCTAATTTACCATTGTAAATTAGAAAAACAAAACAAAATAAAAATAGTTGACACTATTAGCAGCAGTCCCCTGCAAAAAAACAAAAACAAAAACAGCCATGATTTTGATGGCACACATAATATTTAAAATAAGCTTCAAAATTTGTTAACCCATTTCCAGGTCATTTTAGAAGGCAAAAACCTTCAAAGGAGCTTACAAAATAAAATCACAACTCAAAGGAATCTGAGAGGCATTTACTGCAGAATGAACTTGAACAAACAGTATCACTTTTATAAGAAACTGTCTTCCAAATACTCTCCTCCCATCTTTTCTAAAGTTATGGATGACAAATCCACTAAGGTTTGAAGATTCAGTGAACGCTTAGTCTTGAAGATTACAGATTGGAGTTAGAGCGCTCCCACATACTATTTGCAACGGAATAACAGGGTAGGGCTGTGTCTACTTCCTGCTCAAAAATACTTCAGGGGCTCCTGGCTGATCACTGTGAGAAAAGGAGCTCTGAACTAAAATGGGCTCAAGTAATATCTTGATTGGTAAAAGTTTACTAAGAGAGGCTCAGTTATTATTAAATTATATGTATTCCATCATCATGCTAAGGCTTGGAATATTGGAAAAATCAGATATACAGGTAGTCCTCAACTTACGACCACAATTGAGCCCAAAATTTGCTAAGTGAGAAATTTTGCCCCATTTTATGACTTTTTCCGCCACATTTGTTAAGTGAATCACTGCAGTTCTTAAATAAGCAACAAGGCTGTTAAGTGAATCTGGTTTCCCCATTCACTTTGCTTGTCAAAGGTCGCAAAAGTGGATCATATGACTCCAGGACACTGCAACCATCATAAATGTGTCAAGCATCTGAATGTAAATCACGTGATCACAGGGATGCTGCAATGGTTATAAGTGTGAAAATTGGTCATAAGGCACTTTTTTCAGTGCCGTTGTAACTTTGAACGGTTACTTAATGAACCATTGTAAGTCAAGGACTACCTACAGTTACTTTTAAAGTGAGATCTTCCAAAACTGAATTCATAATGGCACAAAACATCAGGTCTACCATCTTCAGCTTCTTCGCCAGTGCCAAACCAGAATAAGCCAGCCGCCAAGGACACCTGGCCTGGGAGAAGAATGCGAAATGGCAATGCGAGGTACCAAGCATCAAAGCAGTTCCCAAAGCATCAAAACGGCATGCTATTGGACACAGATGAACTGGTCAAGGGGGGATGGCCAGTGAACAGGGAAGAAGTGTAACCTTTCCACAGGAATACTCAGATCTAGTTTCACTGCAACTACTTAACTTTAGTAAAATAACCTATCACTTCAACCAAATGGAGTCGAGGGTCTTTCTTTCCTAGAGACCTAAATTGGGGCAGGTCTGACACAAACAGACATAATTCACAGTGTGCTACTTCTATTAATATTAACTAGATATAAATATACCTTCCCTTTGCTGTACAAGTTTAATATAATATCATCTCTTCCAATGGTATTTTCAAAGTAGCCATATGAGTTAGATTGGACTGAGATTATGGCCCAGACATCTAGTGAACTTAACTCTTATAGTCTAACTATCTAATTCCTGTATCATACTAGCATCCATTCCAAAATGTTTATCAGCTGAAAATTTGAACACATACTATATAGTTGTGCAATACAAAATGCATAAAATCAGCTAAGTTTTATATAAAATCAAATTGGCTTTCTTTTAATTGAAGAATAGAACAGAACTCTGCTGGAATAGGATAACAATTGAAAAAAAATTCCATGACATGAGGCAGATATATATTACATACCTCTTCATCCTTGTACCAAGACAAACTCTCTGCTGTTAAGATGAACCAATATTCTTTGGAGCCCCCTTTCATGATGCTAATATTGTTGATGGTCAGCCAGCCTCGCCGGATGACCTGGAGGAAATCAAGAAGTGGGAGTTGAGAAGGGAGGAAAAAGAACAGATTACAGGCCAACTTCAAGAACAAAAGAAGAAGGGAGTTACTTGGAAAGATTTGATACAATGTTTTCAAATTCTAGCCTAGCTGCAGCAGGACACAAACAGAAAAGACTAAAGTACCTCAGCTTACAGCACCATGGCCTTGGCAAATAATGGAAGTCCACTGATGATATCAGTCTTTAATCTTTCTTTGAACTGTTAGTCCACAGCAGCCTGATTTGTGACAGTAAAACTTAAAACCAATGTTTAATGAGAAAGTAAAATAATCCCATAAGATTAAATTGGAAGCAAACATTTGAATTTATGAAAAACTGAATCTAGAGAAATTTTAATACTGGTGTCAACTACAAGAAATGCTAGGTCTCTGAAGTAGACTTTGATATATGACATGACCATAGCTCTGCAATAGAAAAGATCAGCTCATCTACAAGATACAGAATAACCTAGTTGGAGTATGTATGTATCCAGTTTGCAGCCTAAAAATCACTAATAAATATCTATTTTGCAATGAATAAACAGTGAGCAGGAGCTGGTTCCTGCTTACAATCCATGATTCCAAAACTTCAGGAAACTTTCTTCAAAGTCTTCTAATAAATATTCAGTATGTGACTTGGACTGTTTTGGCACTAGTAACTGGTAAGACAATTTTGACTTGGATAAGGAAACAATTCTATCTAATCTTATAGACAATTCTCTCAAGAATAAGCAGTAGACAAAACATTGGCAGTGGAACTTCACAGCATGAAACAGAGGCAAGAGAATGTAAGATTAAAGCTATCACATAGCTTTACACAAAATCTCTGAAAAAATGAAACAGTAGCCAGAATATATTGGCAACAATGATATATCTTGAAATTGCCTCTTCAAAAAAAAGCTATTCATAATATACAAAGTAGCCATAGTCAGCAGCCACAACTCAGAACACAGAATATGCATCGATCATTCCTGTTTATAGTCCACTGATTCCAGAATGTCAATAAACTCTTCCCATCAAGGACTTCCAATAAATATTTAGCATGTGACTTATGCTAATTTGGCACTAATAACTAGTAAGGTAAATTTATTTTCGCTAAGGAAGCAACTCTCTTGCTACACCAATCATACAGACGGCTCTTTCAAGAACAAGTTAAAACTCTGAAGGATAATCTTCTGTTTCAGAAACCAACTAGACATTCTATTCTGAGTTCTTGCTTTTTAAATCAGGCAGGAAATCACTCTTTATATTAATTATATTTTTATTTATCTGTACTTTTACTCAAGATGAAATTATTTTAATTTAATTATGTTTGGAGATGCCTCAGAAGCTTATCTTTAAAGAAAAAGTGAATAGTAACTTACCAGTCTTCCCTACAATATATAACAGCAATTTACCAGCTACATAGACAAACATGTTTTAGGGATAATACTGTATGTCTTTAACTAGTATTCAGCAATTGTTGTTCCTTAATTAAGATGCTATGAAAAGCAACACAAAAATCCATTATTCCACAGTGCAAGAACAGCAACTATCCTATAGTATTGGTTTAGGCCAGAATTTGATTCCTGAACACCACATTTAAACAAGAATTTGAATATAAATTTTCAAAATCTGGATACAATGCATAAACTGAAAGTAATATTCAAGTTTCCATCCTATAATCTGCTTAGAAAATCTCCTATTTCAGAAGGATTTTATATCCATCACAAAGATAGGGCGGTAAAAGAATAGAAAACAATGGGAATGTGAAAGAATGGGAAAATCACTCAAGTTTGAGAAACTCTAAAAAATGAGATTATAAAAGCCCAGTCTAGCACATTACCACTGAAAAAGATAAATAAGAGATCCCAGGAGAAATCAGCATGGTTGTGTAAGGAATTCTGATAAACTGAAAAACAAAAGGACAAATATAAAAAAGAGAAAGGACACATAACTAAGGCAGAATACCAGCATATTTGAGCGGCAAAGAAGTCAGGAAACCTAAGGCTCAGAATGAACTAAGAGTTGCAACAAATGTCAAAAATAATTTTTAAGTTTCAAAATGTAAAAAAAAACTAATGGGAAAAGATGTCAAGGAGATGATGGGCAGCAATGAGAAAGCAGAATTGCTTAATTCATTCTTTGCATCTGTCTTTACACAAAAGCAAAAAAATCTAGCTTATCAAAAGTGGTATCATAAAAGACAAATTAGGAATATGTCAAAATAGGCAAGAAAATGGTAAGACACCTATCCATTCTAGATGAATTCAAATCAGCAAGATCAGATGGATTACATCCCAGAGTTCTGAATGAGCTAACAGACATGATCTCAGAATCACTGAAAGGTATCATTCGAAGATCTTGCAGCACCAGGGAACTACCAGAGGACTGGAAAAGGGCTGATGTGGTTCCCATCTTCAAAAAAGGGGGAAATTGATCCAGGAAACTACATTCCAGTCAGCCTGACATCAATACCTGGGAAGATCCTGGAAAAGATGATCAAGCAACAGATCTGCAAATAGCAGGCAAAGCTATTACTAGTAGCCAATATGGGTTTGTCAAAAACAGATAATGCCAGACAAACGTATTGACTAAATTAGTGGACCAGTGAAATGCTGTGGACATAGTATACTTGGACTTCAGTAAGGCATTTGAATCTACTTCTTGGTAAGATAGAAAAATATGGAACAGACAACATCATTTCCACTAGATGAATTCATAGATGGGTGACCAACTGCCCTCAGTGGGTAGTCCTCACTGAAACTACATCCAGATGGATGGAGGGAAAAAAGCAGTGGGGTACCTCAATGTCTGGTTTTGGGCCCAGTTCTCTTCAACATCTTCATAAATGATCTAGACTAATGGGTAGAAGGGCACTAATCAAGTCTGCAGATGATACAAGCTGGGGGGAACACCCAACACTTTAAAAGATAGGCTCAAGATTCAGAAAGATCTTGACAGACTTGAACTCTGGGCCCTATCCAACAAAATGCAGTTCAGTGGTAGAAAAGTAAGATTTTACATTTAGGCAAGAAAAACCAAATACACAGGTATAAAATAGATATCTCAGTAGCAATAGCTATGAGAGGAATCTAAATATGAATACTACTTAAATATGAGTCAACAGTGTACTGCAGCTGTCAAAAAAGCCTATGCAGTCCTAGGCTGCATCACCAGAGGAGCAGTATCATGGTAACAAGAAGTGTCAGTACCACTTTATACTGCCTTGGTAAGACCACATTTCGAATACTATGTCCAGTTTTGGTCACCATGATACAAAAAGATGTTGAGACTCTAGAAAGAGTGCAGAGAAGAACGACAAAGATGATAAGGGAACAGAGGCTAAACATTGCAGGAACTGCATATGTCTAGTCTAACGAAGCAAAAGACTAGGGGGAACATGATAGTAGTCTTCCAATATTTGAGGGGCTGTCACAGATAAGGGGAGGCCAACCTATTCTCCAAAGAACCTGAGGATGAGACAAGAAGTGGATGGAAACTTATCAAGGAGATCTCCAAGATCTCTTCCAACTGTGTATATTCTGTAAGAATATAATATCCTCTTTTGAAGTTAGCCGGAACCGGAAGTGACAAAATGGTTCCGCCCCAGGCGCCTGATGGACCCCGAGAGGTTCCAGACGGAGCTTGGGCCAATACCTGAGACCCTGACCCGCGGCTCGACTGAGGACCTGGTGGCCGCCTGGAATAGTGCGGCCGCGGGGGCCCTGGACCGGGTCGTGCCTTTGCGGCCTCTCACCCGATGCCGGACTACCTTGGCTCCTTGGTTTTCCGAGGAGCTGAGGGTGATGAAGCGTCGGAAGAGATGCCTAGAGGGTGTTTGGAGGACCACCCGCTCCGAATCTGACCGGACACTGGTAAAGTCCCATTTAAGGACTTACCTAGTGGCGATAGGAGCGGCAAAACGAAACTATTTCTCCGCTCTTATCGCGTCTGCAGGTAACCGACCTGCCGCCCTGTTTAGGGTGTCCCGCTCCCTCCTTCATCAGAGGGTCCGGGACGCCCCCCTGCAGGGTCGGGCAGAGGAATTTGGGTGTTACCTGCATGACAAAATCGATCAGATCCGGGACGGGTTGGCCTCCGATTGGACTAG